GTGACATTGATTTTAACAGTTGTAATGGATTGGTAAAAGAAAAAATTTAGATTGCAATGGCTTATTTAGTAAGTAGGCAGTGAGGAAATGGAGAAAGGAAGTTTAGATGACTCTTTTTTTCTTTTAGATGTTTAGCTGTAAGGAGAGATTGGGGCAACAACTTGAAAAAGAGACAGCGTTGAGCATGGGTTGATCTTTTGGTCACTTAACTTTCCTTCTAGTCAGTCTGAACCATATCGGTCACATATTAGTCACAGTGGTGTCTTTGATTTAGCTTTCTATAGTGTAAGTATTATATTTGGAGACTTAAAATTGTTTTAATGCTTTGGTAAGGCAATGATATCATTGATGTTAAAAAGTATGTGACCAAAAAAGGTTTTGTAAGTGGAAATAGTGATTTTCAGGCTAGTGTAGGTGACTAAATCTTTCACCTGAAAAACACTTGCGAAAACTGTAAAATGTTTATTTCCCTTTAGGTATTTAAAGAAAGAAATAGGTATAACAAAATCATTATATTAGACAAGGACGTCGTACTTTTGCTTGTATTAATTTAATCAAAATAATATTTAATGAATATTTTTGGATACCTCAGTGTGACTCTATACCTTTATATTATCCTGTAGATGAGTCAAACTGTCTTATTTCTTCCTGTTTCTTTAACCCATATATGCAGCCCCCATTTCTACTTCTAATTTTTCTCTTAGAAGAGGGACAAAAGTTGCTACTCACAAAGTAAAATTATTTCTTGACTGCTATATGTAGTAAGGAAAGCAATTAAAAATATGTAAGACATAAATGTCAAGAAATTATTACACAATCAAATTATCCAAGCAAATTTCATGTTGGGCCAATTTATTTACAGATAAACAAAAGCAAGAATTTGATAACCTAACGTTATATAGTTAGCCTCTGCCTTTAAGTATCTTTGAGTGTATCTACATGAATAATACAGTCTCCTCTCTAAATATTGTGGGTTAGTCTAAGGTGAACTCATTAAAACCAGAAAAAATCTAATTTCAAAAAGAGAGTCCAAATCAGTGAGTTCATTCTCTCATTTCCTGTTCTAATTACCTTTGTTTCACATAGACATATTGAGGATGATGACAGAGAACAGAGACTATCAGTCTGGGCAAGCTGCTTGTGACTCAAGAAGGGAGAAAGCTTCAGGGATCTTGTCTGTCACTTTCTAAAAATAATGAAGACTGAGCAATCTCAGAGGAAGTGGGGAATTGTTTGGGTATATAATTAAGAGACATGGAAAGTTTCATTAGTTTTGCAGGGCTTTGCTTTGAAGGAATCTGTGGGTGTGTTAGTTCACAGACCATAACCTGCTTAGCAACAAGGGGGGCATTCCACTGATCAGAGGCGTCTGCAAGGCGGTGCTGTCTTGAGGCCTGCAAGCCATCGCCTGGAGCTTGTGCGAGGCAGAGCTCGGCATAGGGTCCAAGGCTAAGAGACTGATCATGAATGACAGCCCAGCAGACAATTTGCAACTGGAACTATCTTAAACTGTAAGGCTATTTCTTCTTCATTCCTAACCACATGTCTCGGTATATAGAGAAATAGATTAGATTAGTATACAGACTCAGTGTTCTTGCTTTATGCAATTTTATCTCTAACTCGTATGCTCAGCTAGGTCTATTCTTAACTTAGGGCCTATATGTTTATCTTAGAAAAATTTTGTAACCATTTATTTGTAGACAGAATTCTTCTAGACAGAA